TGTGTGTACGTGTGTGTGTGTGAATGTATGTGTGTGTACGTGTGTCTGTGTGTGTGTGTGAATGTGTGTGTGTGTACGTGTGTGTACACGTGTGTGTGTGTGAATGTATGTGTGTGTACATGTGTGTGTGTACGTGTGTACGTGTGTGTGTGTGTGTACGTGTGTGTGTATGTGTACATGTGTGTGTACGTGTGTGTGTATGTGTGTATGTACGTGTGTCTGTGTGTGTACGTGTGTGTGTACGTGTGTATGTGTGTGTACGTGTGTGTGTACGTGTGTGTGTACGTGTGTGTGTACGTGTGTGTGTGTGAATGTATGTGTGTGTACGTGTGTCTGTGTGTGTGATGTGTGTGTGTGATGTGTGTGTGTACGTGTGTCTGTGTCTGTGTGTGTGTGCGTGTGTACGTGTGTGTACACGTGTGTGTATGTGTGTGTGTGTGTACGTGTGTGTGTACGTGTGTGTGTGTACACGTGTGTGTGTGTGTGAATGTATGTGTGTGTACGTGTGTCTGTGTGTGTGACGTGTGTGTGTATGTGTGTGTGTGTGAATGTGTGTGTGTGTACGTGTGTGTGTGTACGTGTGTGTGTACGTGTGTGTGTGTACACGTGTGTGTGTGTGTGTGAATGTATGTGTGTGTACGTGTGTCTGTGTGTGTGACGTGTGTGTGTATGTGTGTGTGTGTGTGAATGTGTGTGTGTGTACGTGTGTGTGTGTACGTGTGTGTGTGTACACGTGTGTGTGTGTGTGTGAATGTATGTGTGTGTACGTGTGTCTGTGTGTGTGTGTGCGTACTCACGGGAGTTTGCTTTCTGCCTCCTGGGCCGTCAAGTTGAAGCTATCGGAGCTCAGCTTGTAGAAGGTGGCACTCTACACACGGCACAGAGACACGTGGTGTGACGACAGCGGTGTGACGCGGGGCGTGTGACACGTGGTGTGATGAGGGCGGTGTGACGCGGGGCGTGACGAGCGGTGTGACGAGCGGTGTGACGTGGGGAGTGTGACACGTGGTGTGACGACAGCGGTGACGCGGGGAGTGTGACACGTGGTGTGACGACAGCGGTGTGACGCGGGGCGTGACGAGCGGTGTGACGAGCGGTGTGACGCGGCGTGTGTGACACGTGGTGTGACGAGCGGTGTGACGCGGGGAGTGTGACACGTGGTGTGACGAGACCGGTGTGACACGTGGTGTGACGAGCGGTGTGACGTGGAGAGTGTGACACGTGGTGTGACGACAGCAGTGTGACGCGGGGAGTGTGACACGTGGTGTGACGACAGCGGTGTGACGCGGGGCGTGACGAGCGGTGTGACGAGCGGTGTGACGCGGCGTGTGTGACACGTGGTGTGACGAGCGGTGTGACGCGGGGAGTGTGACACGTGGTGTGACGAGCGGTGTGACGAGCGGTGTGACGCGGGGAGTGTGACACGTGGTGTGACGACAGCGGTGTGACGCGGGGAGTGTGACACGTGGTGTGACGACAGCGGTGTGACGCGGGGCGTGACGAGCGGTGTGACGAGCGGTGTGACGCGGCGTGTGTGACACGTGGTGTGACGAGCGATGTGACGCGGGGAGTGTGACACGTGGTGTGACGAGCGGTGTGACGCGGGGAGTGTGACACGTGGTGTGACGAGACCGGTGTGACACGTGGTGTGACGTCAGCGGTGTGACGCGGGGCGTGTGACACGTGGTGTGACGAGCGGTGTAACGTGGGGAGTGTGACACGTGGTGTGACGAGACCGGTGTGACACGTGGTGTGACGACAGCGGTGTGACGCGGGGCGTGTGACACGTGGTGTGACGAGCGGTGTGACGTGGAGAGTGTGACACGTGGTGTGATGACAGCGGTGTGACGCGGGGAGTGTGACACGTGGTGTGACGACAGCGGTGTGACGCGGGGCGTGATGAGCGGTGTGACGAGCGGTGTGACGCGGCGTGTGTGACACGTGGTGTGACGAGCGGTGTGACGCGGGGAGTGTGACACGTGGTGTGACGAGCGGTGTGACGTGGGGAGTGTGACACGTGGTGTGACGAGCGGTGTGACGCGGGGAGTGTGACACGTGGTGTGACGAGCGGTGTGACGTGGGGAGTGTGACACGTGGTGTGACGAGCGGTGTGACGCGGCGTGACACGTGGTGTGACGAGCGGTGTGACGTGGGGCGTGACGAGCGGTGTGATGTGGGGAGTGTGACACGTGGTGTGACGAGCGGTGTGACGTGGGCTGTGACACGGGATGTGACACAGGGCAGGTATTAAGACGCACAGAGACCCACAGAGACCCCACAGAGACCCACAGAGACCCCACAGAGACCCCACAGAGACTCACAGAGACCCCACAGAGACCCCACAGAGACCCCACAGAGACCCACAGAAACCCACAGAGACCCCACAGAGACCCACAGAGACCCACAGAGACCCCACAGACCCACAGGGACCCACAGAGACCCCACAGGGACCCACAGAGACCCACAGAGACCCCACAGAGACCCACAGAGACCCACAGAGACCCCACAGAGACACCACAGAGACCCACAGAGACCCACAGAGACCCGAGAGACCCCAGAGACCCACAGAGACCCACGGAGACCACAGAGACCCACAGAGACCCACGTACACCCACAGAGACCCCACAGACCACAGAGACCTCAGAGAACCACAGAGACCCACAGAGACCCACAAAGACCCCAGAGACCCACAGAGACCCCACAGAGACCCCACAGAGACCCCAGAGACCCACAGAGACCCACAGAGACCCACAGAGACCCCACAGAGACCCCACAGAGACCCCAGAGACCCACAGAGACCCACAGAGACCCCACAGAGACCCACAGAGACCCCACAGAGACCCACAGAGACCCACAGAGACCCACAGAGACCCCACATAGACCCCACAGAGACCCACAGAGACCCCACAGAGACTCACAGAGACCCCACAGAGACTCACAGAGACCCCACAGAGACCCCACAGAGACCCACAGAGACCCACAGAGACCCCAGAGACCCACAGAGACCCCATAGAGACCCCACAGAGACCCCACAGAGACCCCACAGAGACCCCACAGAGACCCACAGAGACCCCACAGAGACCCCAGAGACCCACAGAGACCCACAGAGACCCCACAGAGACCCACAGAGACCCACAGAGACCCCACAGAGACCCACAGAGACCCCACAGACCCAGAGCTGTCAACCCATGCGCTTTAGCCCGTATTCTCATACAACAGAAATTGAGGTTTGCACAGTGCACAGCTGTTACGGGCACAACAATAATGAGTGTCTTTGGTGTTGCGTTTCTTCCTTGTGATGGGACTTTGTAGGATGAACGTTGAGGTTCTTCTTTGGTTCTTTCGGTAAAGTCACCACCACGTAGAATGAGAATAAAATAATGAAATAAAAAAATAAAATAGCACAATAAAATTCTCACGACGTTTCGGCCACAACACAAGCGGCCTTCTTCAGGTGAAAGGAACAGACCTGTCGGGGACGACAGAGCTTCAGTGAACGTTGTTAAGATTCGTAGCGTCTTTTTAAGCTGGTTTAGGAGAGGTGAGGCACCTTGACAAAGGGGTTTACATATCAAATAGCTGGCTCACCTCTCTAAACCAGCTTAAAAGACGCTACGAATCTTAACAGCGTTCACTGAAGCTCTGTCGTCCCGACAGGTCTGCTCCTTTCACCTGAAGAAGGCCGCTTGTGTTTGTGGCCGAAACGTTCGTGAGAATATTATTGTGTTATTTTATTTTATCAATTTATTATTTTGTTCTCATTCTACGTGGTGGTGACTTTTACCGAAAGAACCAAAGAAGATGAATCCTTGCAGTCACGACCAGCTTTAAATCGAAATTTGAACGTTGAGGTTTGTAAGGGTCACGAGGTGATCACCAAGTGTCTGAATTGGTCTGTAATAAGGTAGGGCACTGATAAGGTATGCATTAGTGTGTGTGTGTGTGTCTAAGTTCTGTGTCTATGTGTGTGTGTCTAAGTTCTGTGTCTATGTGTGCGTGTGTGTGTGTGGGGAGCAGTAGTGTAATGGTTAGCGCTATGAACCTGGTGACCAGAGTTCGACTCCCGCTCACGGTCAACACCGCCGGTGACGATTATCTAAACCGGTCCTGTGCCTCCCCTAGGTCGACTCAGCCTCAAATGAGTAGCTGGTGTAGTAGCTGTGTAGTGTAGTAGTGAACATCGCTAGCACTGGGGGAGAGACAAAGGCGGCCGGGCGTGGTGCTGGTGGCCACCCACCCCCTCTGCGTGTGCCACAGTGCCGGTAGCCTTCATAGACGCTGCTGCTGCTACTCGCTACTAACAGCACTTGCCCCTACAGCCTGCTAGAGGCTACACGGGGGACCTTTGTCTGTGTCTACCTTCATAGACGCTGCTGCTGCTACTCGCTACTAACAGCACTTGCCCCTACAGCCTGCTAGAGGCTACCCGGGGGACCTTTGTCTGTGTCTACCTTCATAGACACTGCTGCTGCTACTCGCTGCTAACAGCACTTGCCCCTACAGCCTGCTAGAGGCTACACGGGGGACCTTTGACTGTGTCTACCTTCATAGACGCTGCTGCTGCTACTCGCTACTAACAGCACTTGCCCCTACAGCCTGCTAGAGGCTACACGGGGGACCTTTGTCTGTGTCTACCTTCATAGACACTGCTGCTACTGACAGCACTTGCCCCTACAGCCTGCTAGAGGCTACACGGGGGACCTTTGTCTGTGTCTACCTTTATAGACGCTGCTGCTGACAGCACTTGCCCCTACAGCCTGCTACAGGCTACCCGGGGGACCTTTGTCTGTGTCTACCTTCATAGACGCTGCTGCTGCTGCTACTCGCTGCTGACAGCACTTGCCCCTACAGCCTGCTGGAGGCTACCCGGGGGACCTTTGTCTGTGTCTACCTTCATAGACGCTGCTGCTGCTACTCGCTACTGACAGCACTTGCCCCTACAGCCTGCTGGAGGCTACCCGGGGGACCTTTGTCTGTGTTTTGCGAGGGGTGGTGGTGCA